ATCTCGCCATCAATCTTAAATAATATAGTGCAAATCAATAGAATATATCGTAGAGCATTCCACTTTGACAACCACTTTTATTTATTACAATTTATCGCATCAATTCATAGATGGGCTGTGGACTTCTTGGAGTCAGTGGGCGTGTCCGTGTCCCCAAACACGCAGTCGAACTTGCCAGAATCCTCTGACAGGATCACCGGCATCAGATTGCACTGGAACGAGTCAAGACACAAGGCAATGTGAAACTACCCCAGCCTTCACTATCAACGGTATGTAAAACACAGTGGCATCGACCTCGTGGTTGATATTAGCAATTTGCTAGGATACTTTACTTCAGGTAATTGACAAGGTAGCCCTTATACAGAGGTGCGTTTTGTAATGATAGCATCTTGAAATCAGATACAAAATATTCCATTTTCGAATTGAAAGCGAATAACCCCTATTTTGTTTTGACGGCAGATTCTCTGGCGTAGAGGCATTACCGAAAACAATTTGCGTTTTCCCCGAGTTTGGGCTGACACTGTATTCCAAAAAGGCTTCGTCGTTCTGGGATACAGTGTTAGTCTCAATTTTGACAAAATGCCAATTTTCAAGGCTATTGTAGTAACGGCATTTCAGGAAGGAAAGTGTAAACAATTCCTCGTTTTCAGTATAACGTTACAGCGGCCATCTTGGAGGAACCCTCACAAAGGATTTTTCAGTAGTATCGATTTTTCCTTCCTCCAACATTGCTGCCAGACTTTTATCTTTTGAATCTCATAGCAATAGGTGAAAACGATAAATAAAAAACGTTATTCTATTGCGACATTAGGTTGTGATGGCGCGATGGGAATGATCGATGGTCGTATACCAGAACAAAGTATTGCCGTTTCTTCGCATCACAATTATAAATGGTGCCACCCAAAGTACGGTCGTCTATTAAGTAGGGGTGGCGATGATGCATGGTGCGTGGCCTCTTTAGAAGATCCATTAGGTACGCATTTCATACAGATTGATCTGGGGCTCGCTAAAAATGTCACCAAGGTAGCCACTCAGGGGCGTTTTAATTCGGCACAGTGGGTAACGAAGTACAGTCTGTCCTACAGTAACGATACGAAAATGTGGACTCAGTATAATGGCACAACACTCCCTTGCGTTAAGGTAAGATGATGTTGTACGAAAGATGAATAAATTTATTCACCCAATAGATTTTATTTGGATTTTATCTGTTGGATACGATTGTATGAATTTGGTAAGCTTTTCAATGCGAGAGTAACGCTATTCAGCGTTCGAACAACCAGCCAGTGTTATTCAAGAGGGGCCTGGTCACAACAAGACTCAGATTCATCCGAACAGTAAAGACATTTGCCTGTAATAAAACATACCAATGTACTTATCCATTTTTTCCTGTGCGCAGATGTTTGGTGGAAATACAGATCCACACACAGTAGTAACAAATGATGTCCAAGTACCGTTCAAGGCAAGATATGTCAGAATAATACCTCTCGGCTACCATAATCACATTTCAATGAGACTAGAGCTATTTGGTTGCTAGATACCTACTCAAGCAATGAGGCTCTTCAGTCTATTAGAACTAATTAATCTTTTTGCTATAGCTTCACCAAACTTGAACCAATATTCAAGGAACAATACAATTTTTCCGGGTTATATTAGGATTCCGGATTTGTTGTTCTTATACGTGCTCAACCAATAGTTTTATCCTCCTGTCAGACTTTTAAAACTGACAATCTCTTCTTCACAAAGAGATGATTATAATTACGAATTTCATAGCCAACAATAAAGAAAGAAGAAGAAGAGAAACACCGGACCTTTTTAAGCTTGTGGGGGCCCCCAGCCTACGGGCCTGCGACTGCACACACCGAGGAAACGTATTTTGCATCCATTCTGGAGAAATTTTCACTACTGAAGTAATAGATAGTTCTGCAATGGATATGGTTATCACGGCGAGAAAGAGTGCGGCTTCCCGCAACTAGACGTGATCATATAAGACTTTTGAATCAATCTTGTCATGCGAGTTGTGAAAAACGCACAGTTTGTGATTGCCTCATTACCAAAAAGTGTGCCAAACGACAGCGAAGTTTATGCACAGACAAGTTATGTCTGATATATTAAAACTTTATTAGAATGTTAAAAAAACCTTATTTAGAAAATTTGCTGTCACAGTACAAGTCTAAACAACACTATTAAAGAGCTGAACTTATTAAAAAATGTGTTTTTTTTGCTGTCAATCCTTCTTTATTTTCCTTTTTACAATTAGTAACTGACGCTGTTTTTACTTTAGGAAAAACTGAAATGCTACTGACAATAGATAACCTAGTGAGGAGAAAAATCTCTAGGCATCCAGCAGTGAATTCATAATAATATAAAAAACATAGTTCAGGCAGTCCTTGAAATTCAAAATAAAAATAAAGATAAAAAACCTCTTAAAAACTCTCATGATCAATTGTCTGAGCCAGCCTTTTTCCCGCACATTTTTAAACCGCAACTTTGTTAGATTAATATACGAGCTGTTAGTATAGCTAGTTGTCTGGTAAACGGGTATAGAGAAAATCCAGATCCCCCCTGAACCATCCGGTGACATCGTAGTAAATAATTTAATTACTTTTTCAAAGCCGTCTTACTTCTCCTGGCTAATGCAAATATACGCATGTAAACACATAGACCGAAGGATGTCTCTACCATACTTACTCGGTGTTTGTGTTTTGTTGCTCGGAATACACGATTCCAGAAGTGAATTACGATTCACTGATCCAATTGTTTTTGACTTTTATCGCGGACACAGACTCAACGTAACAAACTCCACGAAAACACAGTCAACTAAAGCCAAAAACATGATGGGATGTTTGTCGAACTGTGTTGCGGTCGAGTGGTGTAAGTCGGTGAATCTAAACACCAAGCCTGGAGAAGATGGTCTTCGTCTATGTGAGCTTCTTTCCTCTGATCGATTCACAAAAATCAACAACTTGACAAAGGACGAGACTCAAGACAACTTGAACGTTAAGGTACAATTCATAATATATTGTTTTATATGGATTATTTCTTTATTTACGGGTCAGGAAATTTTGTAATTTTTGTAGTCTTTTAAAAAAGCAATCGTTTTATTCGTTATACTGATTAAACTGATATAGTCTTTCTGGAACTAAACTCTTCAATATTAATAAGAAACGTCCTTCGATCAGAAACAAAGGGAGCTTTATTTTCAT